GGGTCGTACAGGTACATCCCCAGGTAGGGGACGCACGGGGGGTCACAACTTTGGGAGCAAACCACAAACAAAAAAGAAGACAAGAAACAAAAAAAGAAAGCAAGAAACAAAAAAAGAAAACAAGAAACAAAAAGGAAAAGAAGAAGCAGAGAAGCAAGCTGCCTTACATGGGGGCTGTGGAGCGGAGAGGAGGGTGGGGCTCCACACTCAGCAGAACCTGAAGGAGTCTCTACCAGGCAGAAGCCCCACTCCCCACAGGCTCCCCGACAAGCAGAGAGCAGGAATCAGTGACCTGGAACCCCGGGCACTGGCAGAGGAGCCCGATGCCACCTCTGGGAAGCTGCGGTGTTCACACCACCAGCTCTGACTCGGGAGCCACCCCAGTGCTGTCAGCAAGGCCCACGCTATCTGGAGTGGCCTGCTCTGGCTGGTGGAAACCCCAGCTAAATACGATGCACTTTGGGATTTAAACTGTCAGGGGAGGGGGGAGAACAGAATTTCTGGGTGTCTGGCAATGATTTGCCCGTTCCCAACCCCTCTTATTCGTGTTCTTCCACCCGCTGCCCAGTGCGGACCTCGGGACCACCTGGGGAAGTGCTGCCCGTGCCTGTGCTGCTGCAGGCTCTGAAAGGACCCCGGGAGCACAGCCCCAGCAGCAGCACGGCAGCCAGGGTGGGGTCCAGGCCGCCCAGCACCGCGGGGTCCTCAGCCGGCAGGATGGGAGTCACCAGTCACTCACTTTTTCAGTGCCTCCCTCAGGTTCTTGAACCTGCCCTCCGACGACACCAGCTTCTGCAGCTTATCGATCAGAGCCTTCGTCTGCAAGAGACCCAGAGTGACACCTGGAGAAGGCCCTGGAAGGAACCCCCATCCTGTGGCCAGGCAGGGTGAAGGCTGCAGAGCCCCAGGGTCATCCTCATCCTGCTGGGACATGCCACCCTTGTCCAGCTGCTTGATGTCCAGAGGAGCTGAGGAAGCACTTGAAAGCCAAGCTCATCCAACACATTAATTGTAGAATCACAATGGTGGGAAGGGACCTTTCAAGGTCATGGAGTCCCACCCCCTGCAGGGAGCAGGGACATCTGCAGCTAGAGCAGGGTGCTCAGAGCCCCAGCCAACCTCACCTGGGACGTGGCAGCGACCACCTCTCTGGGCAGCCTGGGCCAGGGGCTCACCACCCTAAGCGCCAAACATTTCTTCCTTCTAGTCAAAGACTCCCCCTCTTTTAGTTTAAAACCATAAATGCTTGTTCTATCTACTACACTCCCTGATGAATAATCCCTCCCCACCTTTTTATCAGCCCCCTTTAAGTCCTGGCAAGCCACCAGAAAGTCTCCCCAGAGCCTTCTCTGCTGTGCTGAGGACTCCAGAGCTTGTCTTTGCTGAGGACTCCAGAGCTGCCCCAGCACTGCAGGGAGGTCTCCCCAGAGCGGGTCAGAGGGGCAGGATCCCCTCCCTCAACTGCTGCCCACACTGCTTTGGATGCAGTCTGTGCACTTGTTTCCCTCCCCTGCCTCCCACCCTCTCCAGTGCCTGTTTTAATCCGCAGGTTTATCCCTCTGCAGGAGAGGAGCCGGTGTTCCAGATCCTCCAGATCCAGAGGAGCCCACGCAGCGGCTCAGGCTCGGCAGCCCCTGGACTCCACCAGGCTCTGCACAAGCTATTTTTGTACCCAGGAACTCAAGAATTCATTTTCCTCATCCATAATTGGGCCGAGAAGCCCAGAGAACCGTTTTGAAGAAGCCCCTGTGTACACAGCCAGGATGACGCTGTAGAAAAGGTTCTTCAGCTGCAGGATGAACCAACCCCACGGCACCGCCGCCTCCTCACCACCTCCTCACCACCTAACTCCTTGGAAGGACCCACCGAGACCTTTCTCCATCCTCTAAGAGGCTTTTCCACACGCGTGTCTCCCGCCTCCCCGCGCCCCCGCCCCCGGCGAGGGTGGTCCCCGCCACCCACCTGCTTGGCGACATTGAGCC